TTGCATTCTCGTACAATCTGTGCATTTCGTGCACCTTGCAATGAGTTTGCAAGAGAGAGTGAATACCCCTATTCTCAAAAAATACTGAAGTGTGTCATGGGTTTCATATTAGCTTACGTTGACGTACGTAACCACTTACGTTACAGATTTTTATGTTAAATAAAAATTATATGGCAACACTTTTCACACTCTCTGAATAATGCAGCAAATAAACATTTTGTTGTTATTAGGACTGTTTAGGTGAAAAGGCGCAAGCAATAAGTTTTTTAATAAAATTGATAATCTAATAAAAAAACGTAAACATGAGCGATTACTCAACAATTAATGGCAATGGCGTTGTGTTGGACAAACAGGACATGTATGTCTTGATGAAATTGGTCAAGAAATACAACTTAAAGCAAAGTGAGGAGATACTTTTCAATGAAGCAAATATACGCCGCGAAGATCTGGTGGAACTCAACGATCCCGATAATAATTTTAATCATAATGAACTCATAACACGTGATGGTGAACATAGTCCATCATACGATAAGTCAATAGATCCCAAAATATACATTAAAGCCTTCGAAGATCTGCGTACTTTTGTTGGTGAAGCGCTAGACATATACAAGCATGAATTGTCTATGGTTTTATATCCTATTCTGGTGCAAATATATTTTAAGTTTATCGAACATAATATGGCTGAAGCTGGCCAAAAATTTATAGAGAAATATGGTAAAGATTTGGATTATTTTTATCGCGAAGATTTACAGCAACTGTTGCTGCTGAGGAAACGCGTGCACTTAATAAACAATGACTTGGTGGAAGCAATGGATATAGATAAATTCATTATACGTATGTCACGTGATTCACATTCACTTTTCAAACGTCATATACAAGATCGCAAGCAAGAGGTAATCGCTGATATTGTGGCAAATCACCTGCATTTCGATACATACGAAGGCACGGCACGTAGTAAGGAACAGTGTGCTATCACGTCTGGTGCATCGATAGGTGAAGCTAAACGACAAGATAATAAGGTGCGTGTTTATTTTGGGCTACCGAAAGAAATAGATATACAGTTATTGACCACACCCGCACCGGCACCGCCAGAAGAGGAAGAAGATAATGATCCTGATGCACCAGACAAACCCAAAAAAAAGAAACCTAAAAAGGATCCACTATTTTCAAAAAAATCAAAAACTGATCCAAATGCACCAGCAAATGACCGCATACCGCTGCCAGAAATGAAAGACTCCGACAAACTCGAAAAGCTGAAATCATTGCGGGAAACCATGAAGCGTATAGCGCTTAACAGAGATTCATTACCTTCAGTTTGTTTTTATACAATACTTAATGCACATAATACAGTTTGCTCCGCCGAAGTTTCAGAAGATTCAACAATATTAGCAGTAGGTTTAACCGATTCTAGTATAAAAGTGTGGTCCCTTACACCTAGCAAATTGCGTGAAATGAAGACTGCAGAGCAACTAAAGGATGTCGACAAAGATAGTGAGGATGTAGTGGCGCGTATGATGGACGAACGTAGTGGTGAACAATGTCGCGTGCTTTATGGTCATAATGGTCCCGTTTTTCGTTGTGCCTTCTCACCTGATAAATTAAATTTACTATCTTGCTCTGAGGATGGTACTTTGCGTTTATGGTCGTTACTAACGTGGACTTGTGTTGTAGTATATAAAGGACATTTGTTTCCTATATGGGATGTGCGTTTCTCACCTCATGGATACTACTTTGCATCTGGCTCGTATGACAAAACGGTACGCTTATGGGCAACTGACACATATCAACCACTTCGAATATTCGTAGGGCATTTGGCTGATGTAAGCTGTGTGCAATTTCATCCTAACTCTAATTACATTGCCAGTGGTTCTGAAGATCGCACAGTACGTTTGTGGGATGTCTTCAACGGTCAGTTGGTGAGACTTATGACTGGTCATAAAGGAACTATCACATCATTAGCATTTTCAACTTGCGGTCGCTATTTAGCTTCTGGCGCGGCGGATAACATAGCAATCGTTTGGGACTTAGCACAGGGACAATTGATCACAACTTTGGTGAAACATACAGGTACTTTAAATACCATGACATTTAGTCGTGATGGCACTATATTGGCTATTGGTGGTCTCGATAATTATTTAACGCTTTGGGATTTTTCAAAACTTGCTGAAGAGTACATCAATCAAAGTACAAATGCGTCACATAATCCTGATATCAACGATGGAGAAAAGTATTTGCTACGTGCATATCCGACAAAAGCGACACCTTTTCTTACGCTGCATTTTACAAGGCGAAACCTACTATTTGGAGTAGGTACGTTTAGGTCATAATATTTTCTATATGAATTGTCTTAATCGCTAATTTAAATTTTTTCATTAAACAAATTAAGTATAAAAAAATAAAAATTTAATTTAAAATACCGAAAACGTATTTCTTTTAATTTTATTCGCCTTTGCCAAATTTGCATTAAACAATAACTTTAGTCTAATTAACATATTCCATGGGAACGCACTCCTCTGCGGCTACATGCGTAGGCGAAGAGCCGTCAATTATGTGGTCATTCGATTCACTGAAAAAAAAACAAATTTCATCAGTTTTTTACTCAATACTCAAAATACTTTTATTAGTTACCTGTCTAAAGAGGGTTCATTGCTAAACATTTCTGTGGGTACAGTGGCGGGAGCGCGTTCAGGCATTAATTCCATAACAGTTTGTCTTGATTGAAGATGTCGTTCGACTTCAGCGGCTGTCATATGTCCTTGTTGTGTGTCCAATGTGGTTTGTTGCTCTTGCTTTTCGCTCTCAGCATAACTACTGTCAGCTGTTACTGGTGGCAATGCAAATCCCTTTCTCTTGCGCCCACGTACTGCAGCATTTGAAGTATTTTCATCCAATTTATACCTAGTTTTTTTTTAATTCTATTATTTAATTTATTACTTAAATAATTAATATTAAAAAGTACCTCTTTGGCACTGGTGTAGCATCGTCATCGGATGATTCTGTTTCTTCGCTTTCTGATGATGTATTTTCTGGTTTTTCGTACATCAACAAACGTTCCAACAAAAATGTTGAATCTCTATCAATCTTAAGCAGACGACGTTGATTCACACGCAATGCTTCTTGAAAACTTTCATTTTCCTAAAATACAATTTATATATATATTGATTTTTTTATTACTATTTTTACTTATAACAAACTTACGTATATCAAAAATTTAAACTTTCGTTTCAACTGACGATATTTCTCTTTGTAATCCGGTTCTGCTTCATCGGATTTTCCTGTCATAGTGTGTCTTTGTACTTGTTCATCGTCTGAACCTGAATTTTCATTCGGATCTGATGTTTCCTCCTGTTGTGCAGCTTGTTCATTAGCCATTGTGCGACAATACCAGCCTTCTAGCATTTTCTTATCAATTTAATTGAGATTGTTAGTAATAGAGCCTTTTGTGGAGGAATGGGATTTTGACAGCTAAAGTGCTGTAAACTGAAACTGCCTTACCAACAAACAAATAACACACTGTCGGTGTGGTGGCTCACTTAAGACCAGATTTTAAATTCATACACAAACTTGTATTTAATAAGTTTTTAAAGCGTTCACTAAATAACAAAAATACATAAACAAGTTTTTTGAAAACATTTGTTTTAAAACTACTTAAATTCTTTCTTTGTATTGTAATTTCTTTCTTCTTTTACTAATTTTATACCAATTGAACACAATCAGGGTTGTTCACTGTTATCGCTCTCGGTTATATTTACTATGCACTAATTAATTATATGCGATATAAAGTTTTATTTAAACATTTGTTTAATACTCTACTATTGTTATTATTGGATGCACAATAGATCAAACTGGTCGCAATACATAGGGGCCTTAGCCTAACCCAAAAACCCCCAAATACAATTGTTGGCTGGCTGTAATAATTTATTTTTCTTAGTGAAACAAACGAATAGAACGTTTTCACTGGCTTCGTTAGACCAGTGAACTTACTTGAGATGCAAGTAATTCAAGCAATCTCAAGTAAGTGAACTGGTCTAACGAAGCCAGTGGAAACATACTATAAGCGTTTTACTGTGAACGCTATAAGGACGAGACGAAACTTAAAGGACCAGTACAACCCAACTGGGTATAGCTCACCATTAAAAAAGCGCTGGAAAAGGTCTTTATACAGTCAATGCCAGTTGAACGTATTATTATTATATTATTTTAACTCACTTTAAACATATTAAGCAAAGACATACATTATTTTATATATGTATATTTATATGTCTATGTATATTTCTATATAGTAACTATTAATTAAAATATGCTTTAAAAAAACAATAATTTCATATTAAATCTATTTGTTGCCTTTCCAACCAATTATTTGCTTTTTTTAGAATTTCTGGATTATCTGTATACTCCTTTTGCACACCACTACCGCCAGTACGCACAAAACCCGCTTCTCCTTTATTAAGAATTCCGATGGCTTCCATTTCATGACCATTCACAGCAGAATTTTTACGGAAATTCGTTATGTTCAAATGATTGATAAGATTTTCTAAACCTTCAGTGGTCAGGTTGCAATCAAGAAAACTAGCAAGTTTTGTAATGGTGGCACTCAAATCCTTAAGCATGTCTTCATATTTCAACATCAACACATTAGGTAAATGACTATGAGCAAGTGCTTCTTTAATATGACTGTGGTATGGTAACCAAGGATCTTTAAGATAAACAATATTAAGAATAATTTAAATAAATAAATAATAATAAATATATATACTTAGTCCTCTTTCAAAATAAGACCAGTAACGTGAGAAATCTCCTACATAACCTTGTGTACGATATAATCTGTTAAGATGATAATAAGACACTGCTACATCTTTAGGATCGCGTGTTACATAAATGATCTTATAGTAGAAATAATATTTTTCAACGATTTATTTAATATTTTTTTTTGTTTTGTAAGAACTCACCTTGCATTTCTTCTCCAACACACTGGGTGGCAATAATGAGAATGGAAAGTGTGTCTTTATAAATCGTCTTTTACCGATTTCAATTTCACTTAAAGACTGATAACCTGGACGTGATATTAATTCTATGAATTTCAAGTTATCTGCATCATTTGCATTTTCTTCTATTAATTTGCTTTTTATCTCCGGATGTACGAACAATGGAAATCTATAAATTTTATTATAATTGGATTACACATATTTTTTTTAAATTTTAATTTAACATATTATACTAACTCAAAGAATGGAAATCTTTCTGTTAGTAGTTGACTCTTAGCTGCATCGAAATCCAAATTATTTGCTATTAACCAAATCATTTCTTGTGTCCAAGTGGTACCGGAACGTGGAAACGTTGCAATCCACACATCATCGGAGCGTGCTTCAAAATTATAATATTCCTTTGCCTCATTTTTGTATTTGTTAGGAAAAAAGTATTTTTCCGGTCCAACTTGTACGAAGCCAGTTTTTTCACCTTTTAATATAAACAAAAAATGAAAAAAAATATATGGGTTAATAATATAATACTGGACTTTCAAAGATTATATATTAAATTCTGAAAAACTGTTCAATTATGCAAACTACATATTTCTTTCTAGCATTGTTACATTCTATCACTCAGAAGTAGAGAAGGTTCCCATAATATTTATGACAACCTTTTCATAAACCCCTAATTTAATCATAATCCAATACTTCTCTAAAAACCAATGCAATTTATTGAGTTTAAGTTTTCTATCAAAACTGTGCCTGAATATAGAATCGATCATACAAAATCTTCTTTAAAGTCGACTTTAATCCGGGTTACAATAGTAATCTTGTGTAGTATTAAAAACTCTTAACGTTAAAGATACTTTACGATACGTCAGACTGATCCAATATCTTCCATGCAAAAAATGTATTGGTCAAAGATCACTTCTTCAGAATAAATCTGTAATAAAAATAAAAGGGTAGAGGTGCGTTTCTGATTTCTCGGGCACGCCTATTTTCGATAACGGATAGTAATTAGATCAGCTATTTTGAAAAACTTTTTCTATTATAAGGTTATAGCTATATGTTTATATAGCCTACTTCTCGAGATACTGCGGTTTAAATTGCTTAACTTTTTATATTAATAGCTCACGCAGAAAACTACACACTCATCGGGTTCCAATTATTATACCCAACTTTT